AGAGAGGGTGCTCAGACATTGGAATGGGCTGCTCAGGGAAGGGGGGGATTCTCCATCCCTGGAGATTTTTAAGCTGAGACTGGATGTGGCATCAGTGCCATGGGCTGGGAACCACGGCGGGGTTGGATCAAGGGTTGGACTGGATGATCTCAGAGATCCCTTCCAACCCAGCTGATTCTATCATTCTATGATTCTATAATTCTCCGATTCTCTGATTCTCTGATCAGCAGCCCCGCTCTGTGCCCTCCCCACGCTCCCTCCCAGGGCTGGGATGGCTCCTTGGGAAGCGCTTTCCAAGGAGCCAAGTGCAGGTCCCAGCCCCCCGTGCCAGCCCGGGGCAGGGGGTGGTGGCAGGTCCCAGAGCTCTGGTTGTTGTTCTGTCCCAGGAGTGCACCAACGACTGCTGTGACCCCGAGACCTGCAAGCTGACCTCGGGCTCTGTCTGTGCCCACGGGGAGTGCTGTGAGAACTGCCAGGTGAGCCCCCTCCCCAGCCAGCCTTTCCTGGAGAGAGCAGGGACAGCTTTCCATAGGACTTCACTTGTACTTACTGGGATCATGGGATATCCTGAGCTGGAAGGGGCTCACAAGGATCAGAGTCCAACTCCTGACCCTGCACAGACACCCCAACAATCCCACCTTGTCCCTGAGAGCGTTGTCCAAACCCTCTTGGAGCTCTGGCAGCTTTGGGGGGCTGTGCCCACTGCCCTGGGGAGCCTGGGCAGTGCCCAACCAGCCTCTGGGAGAAGAACCTTCTCCTGGGATCCAACTGGACCCTGCCCTGGCACAGCTCCAGCCCTTCCCTGGGTGCTGCCCCTGTTCCAGTGCCCACCCACCCTGGGGGTGATGCTGCTCCTCACACAGCCAGGATGAGATTTTTCTGCCCTAATTCCAGCTCTGGCCGAGTGTGATTTCCAGCCCTGTGGAGGGGCCCTGTGCTAAGGCTGGCTTTGCTCTCCCCTCCCTCAGTTTAAGAAGTCAGGAGCAGTTTGCAGGGCAGTGAAGGACGACTGTGACCTGGCCGAGATGTGCTCCGGGAACTCTGCCAGCTGCCCCACGGATCGATTCCGGGTCAACGGGCACCCCTGCAACTTCGGAGAGGGGTATTGTTACATGGGCAAGTGCCCCAGCAGGGACAGCCAGTGCAAGGCTGCCTTTGGACCACGTGAGTAACACCAGAACTGCAGTCTGGGTGTCTTGGGTGAAGGAGAGAGAGAGAGGGAAAGAGGGAAAGAGAAAGAGGAAAAGAGGGAAGGAGAAAGGGAGAAGGAAAGAGGGAAAGAGAGGAAGAGAGAAAAAGAGAGAGAAAGAGAGAAAGAGAAAGGGAGAAAGAGAAAGGGAGAAGGAAAGAGAGGAAGAGAGGAAAAGAGAGAGAAAGAGAAAGAGAGAAAGAGAAAGAAAGAAAGGGAAAAGAGAGAAAGAAAGAGAGAGGGAAAGGGAGAAAGAGAGAGGGAAAGGGAGAAAGAGAGAGAAAGAGAGAAGGAAAGAGGGAAAGAGGGAAAGAGAGGAAGAGAGGAAAAGAGAGAGAAAGAGAAAGAGAGAAAGAGTGAAGGAAAAAGAGAGAGAAAGAGAGATGGAAAGAGAAAGAAAGAAAGAAAGAGAAGGAAAAAAGAAAGAGAGAAGGAAAGAGAGAAAGAAAGAGAGAAAAAGAGAGAAAGAGAGGGGGAAGCTGTGCCTACAAATCCTCAAGGACCTGTTGTAAAGCAGGAATAGCACATCCATAAAAATAAACTCTAGTCTCTAGCACATAATCATCATATTTCATATAACTGTTATTTTTTGATTTGATACAGTTATTATTTCTATATTTCACACAATCATTGTTTCCCCGTCTCGCACTGCAAGCGATGGTGACTCACGAGCCAAAGCTCGGAGCACCCAGTGCAGTGTTTCCAGAGAAATGGGAAGTGGGGAGGGGATTCCTCTTTCACACAATGATTTTGAGAGAACTGGAATGGAGCTGGGGAAGTATTTCTGGCTATACAGGAAGAGGAAATGTCTGTCTGTCAAATTAACATCCAAATTTGGTGTCTTTAGGCTGCTGACAGCAGGAATTCGTAGAACCACAGAATTGTTTGGAAAGGACCTTAAAGATCATCTCATTCCCTCCCCTGCCATGGGCAGGGACAGCTTCCACTAGCCTGGGTTGGAACAACCTGGCCTTGGACACTTCCAGGGATCCAGGGGCAGCCACAGCTTCTCTGGGAATTCCATCCCAGCCCCTCCCCACCCTCCCAGGGAAGAGTTTCTTCCCAATATCTAATTCCAACTGCTCTCTCTCAGTTTAAAACCATTCCCCCTTTTCCTGTCCCTCCATCCCTTGTCCCCAGTCCCTCTCCAGCTCTCCTGGAGCCCCTTTAGGCACTGGAAGGGTCTCTCAGGAAGAGAGGAAGAGAGGGAAAGAGAGAGAAAGAGGGAAAGAGGGAAAGAGAAAGGGACAGAGAGAGAGAGGGAGAGAAAGGGAGATGGAAAGAGGGAAAGAGGAAGAGAGGAAAAGAGAGAGAAAGAAAGACAGAAAGAGAGAGAAAGAGAGAAAGAGAGGAAGAGAGAAAGAGAGAAAGAGAGAAAGAGGGAAAGGGAGAAAGAGAGAAAGAGAGAAAGAGAAAGAGGGAAAGAGGGAAAGGGAGAAAGAAAGAGGGAAAGAGGGAAAGGGAGAAAGAAAGAGGGAAAGAGGGAAAGGGAGAAAGAGAAAGAAANAGAGAGAGAGGGAGAGAAAGGGAGATGGAAAGAGGGAAAGAGAAAGGGAGAAAGAGAGAGAGGGAGAGAAAGGGAGATGGAAAGAGGGAAAGAGAGGAAGAGAGGAAAAGAGAGAAAGAAAGAAAGAGAAAAAGAGAGAGAAAGAGAGAAAGAGGGAAAGGGAGAAAGAGAGAAAGAAAGAGAAAGAGAAAGAGGGAAAGAGGGAAAGGGAAAAAGAAAGAGGGAAAGGGAGAAAGAGAGAGAAAGAGGGAAAGAGGGAAAGGGAGAAAGAGAGAGAAAGGGAGATGGAAAGAGGGAAAGAGAGGAAGAGAGGAAAAGAGAGAGAAAGAGAAAGAGAGAGAGAAAGAGAAGGAAAGAGAGAAAGAAAGAGAGACCCTTCTCTTTCTCTGGAGCCTTCCCTTCTCCAGGCTGAAGTGCCGGAGACTCATTCAGCAAGTTAAGCGGGCAAGGCCATTTCCTGAGCAGGTGAAGGAGATGGAACATCCTCGGTTCTGCCAGGCAGAGCTCCCAGACTCATTCCAGGGCCTTTTCCTGTCTCCCAGAGGCGACGGACGGTCCCGCCTCCTGTTACCGCCTGAACGAGCGGGGCGCGTACTACGGGTACTGCAGGAAGGAGCAGGGCACCCACCTCCCCTGCAAGGCAAAGTAAGCACCGAGCTCCGCAGCTTGGGATTCGGGAAGAAAAACAATTCCTGCTCCAATGAAGAGGCAGAATCCAGGCCCACCCTGTTTTAGGTGTCCCCGTGTCCCCCCCCCTGTTCAGTCTGGGTGCTGTGGGAAAGCCAGTTCTGAGAGAATGAGTTGGAGATCCCGATCAAATGTGGGCAGAGGGGTGGGCAGACCTGCTGGAGAGGATGAGTGTGTGTGTGCACCAAACTGCAGGGAAGGGATCTTGGGGTAGGGAAGGGATTTTCTGATCTGACCCTCAGAATATTAAGGAATATCACCTAAACACTCAGTTCTGCACATCACCCCCCGATAAGCTCCAGAGGAATTAAAAACCCATCACCTGCTCAAACCCAAGTTCCCTCCTGCAGCTGTTTCCTTGGAATTCAAGCTGGAGGAGGGACCAGCTCAGGGGGTGGAGGGGGGTTTGCTGTGCCATGGCCTTGTTTTACCAGCTCTTGTTCTCCTTGCAGAGACACACTGTGTGGGAAGCTGTTCTGCTCCGGAGGGAGGGAGATGCCCCGGGAGGGGAGCCTGGTGACTGTTAATTCCTGCAAAGCAAGTTTTCCTAAAAATGGAGATGATGAGGACCCGGGGATGATTCTCGATGGAACCAAGTGCGGGAATGGGATGGTTAGTAGGGAATAATTTTTCTCCATGTTTTTTCCTCCTCTTTCAGTCTTAGCTCAGTCTCAAGGATAATTTTAAACAGGCAAGGCTGAGCTGACACCAGACTTCTGCTGGTTTTCCCTACATCTACCCCAAACCAGTAGCAAAGCAAACAGGAACTTCCATGATTCCAAACTCCTTTGCCTTGGCTGCTGTCCCTTTATTTTTTTCCTGTCACAAACAGGAAAGACCCCTTTGTACAAAAGTTTTATATAGAAGATCATAAATGTTATTACTACATTTAGTGATTCCCACCATGGATGTGCCAGGAATCTCTAAGTGCTATTCCCAATTTTCTTCTTGGAAGGGGAGGGATGTCTGTACATCTCTGTCACTCCCCTTTGCTGTAAAACACCCAAAGCTCAGAAGAAAAATTATCCCCAAATATCAACCCCCTAAGGTGGGTTTAGGTGATTTGCAGAACTGTTCCCACGTCTCCTCGTGCCCTTCATCCCTCCACATGATCATATTCCAGCTCTGCACCTTCTGGAAGGTCTGAATCCCTCTGGGAACCTTTCATTTCAGGTGTGCAGCAACGGAGAGTGTGTCTATACTGAGGAGGCCTTTAGATCAACCAACTGCTCTGCCAAGTGTTCTGGACACGCTGTAAGATCTGAGATTTGATGCCATTCACTTTAAAATGATGCATATCAGCTGCAGACCTTATTGCTGAGGGTATTTAAGTCACTGGGATGGGAGCTGGTAAAAACTGGGGAGGCAGAAGCTTCTTATATTTTTATGAAAGCAAATCTAAACTGAGACAAAATCAATATTTTACCAAGGAGACCACAAGAGGTGGACACAGACTCTGTGTCTGGCCCTGCCCCTGAGCCACAGCACCACAGCTCTTCTCCTTTAGGTCATTTTGGGGTTGGGAAGACAATGTGTGACCATTCAGAGACCTAGAGATGTGTGGGTTAACCCTGCCTTGCACTGCAGCTCTCACCTGCACACCAGCAGAGCCCCAGGGCTCTTTAACCCCCAAAACTGCTCCTCTCCGAGCCAAATTTTAAACTGAGAGCTTCAACAAACTCACCAGAGCCACCCAGGGACATCCCAATCCACTCCCATTCCCAAGCTGAAGGTCTTTGTGCTCCCCAGGTGTGTGACCACGAGCTGCAGTGCCAGTGTGAGGAAGGATGGGGACCACCCACCTGTGACAGCTCCTCAGCCTTCACCAGTAAGTGCTGCACGGCCACACCTTGGGAGCTGCCAGTGAACTCCAGGGAGACAGCCCAGCACTGGGGGCCGGGCTGGTTCATGGAATTGTGGAGGCTGGAAAAGCCCTCTAAGGTCGTGGAGTCCAACCAGCCACCAGCAGCACCCCCATGGTCACCACTAATGGTGAACACAAAAAACACACCACGTGTTTTTTGAACACTTCCAAGGGTGGGGACTCCACTGTTCCCCTGGGCAGCCTTAACACCCCTTTCACTGGAGAAATTTCCCCTCATATCCAACCTAAACTCTCATTTCTTTGCAAATATTGCATATCAGGGTAGGTGATTTCTGAGTATCTTGAAGCCCCTGCTGCTTGCAGGAATGAGCAGAGCAAGGACTTTTCTTTCTGAGCTGACAAGAGGGGAGCAGCTTCTCCCCTCTCCATGCTGGGATAAGGAGCTCACTGTCACCTCAGAGTGGAGCCAAGATCCCACAGGCTTTGCTGTGAGGGAGGTGGACAAGTTCCTTTATCATCTGCAGGCAGCTGGTCTTTAACTGATCTACCTCTGAAGGAAAAGACTTTGTGGATAGATTTCCATCTGTCTGGGAACAAAACCAACCAGCCTTTATTTTATTTATGATATAAATGTGTTTGTCCTCTCCCCACACTCCCCAGAGCACCCTCAGCTCTGAACATCAGGGTTTGGTTGAAGGACAGTTGTGAAGGAAACCTCACTTGAATGCAATTTTGGGTAACACCTTTTGGAGGCAGAGGAGTGACAGCCAAAGGGTCTTTGAGGCTGGATGGAAAGGACAGGGATTGTTCAGGGTTTGCTTAGCCCTGCACAGGCTTCAAATCTGGCAAAACCATCTCCATCTGTGGCAGGAGAAGAAGCCACAAAGTGAGGACAAACGGGGTCCAGACCTTGGGGAAAAAAATTCCCTTGCCTGTGGTGGTGATGGGAGACTTCTGAAGAACAGTGGATCTCTTGGATCTCTGTCCAAGCTCCAGGATTCTGGGGTGTTTAAGGAGTGTCTGTTGTCTCTCCCTGGCAGGCATTGCCATCGTGGTTGGGGTGCTGGCTGTCCTGGCTGTCACAGCCACTGCAGCAGTGCTGCTCATCCGCTTCCGAGTGGCCAAGGAGAGGTAAATCCTTCCCCACTGACTGAAAAAAAAACCCCAAACCAAAGCCATGGAATACCTGGATGGGTTTAACTTCCAGTTTTCAAAGGGGGTGGGGGGAATCAGAAACCAAAAAGCCAAGGAACTCCTTGAGCTTTTCTGAGCTGCTTCAGAATTCTCATATTTGGGAGAGGAGTGAAGATTTGAAATGCAAGATTAATCAAATTATTCAAGATTAATCCTTAATAAATACAATAAAAAAGCAGGGCCGTGGCTATAACACACCACTGGGATTAAGGCAGGCATTCAACTGCGAGTATATTTACTTCAGTAAATAAAGAAAGGTAAGATTTACCTCCATATGAAATATTTTACAGCCACCAGAACAGGAGTGGACCTGGAGCCACCAACCAAGTGTTTGTGGATCAAGAGGAGAGGTGCAGAGAACCCCCAGGCCTGGCAGTGCCTGCCCAGAAGGTGAGGGCAGAGGGTGCCGGGCCAGCTGGGTCTGTCTGGGACTGTCCCAGCCACCAAAACCCACCAGCCAAAGTGGGCTCCTCTTCCTCCGGGGCCCAAAATGCTTCTCCAGGGCTGAGAGGGCAGTGCTGGGAATGTCAGCGTGGGTTGGGAGTGGGGAAAGCACGTGGGGCTGAGTCCCTGAGTGACCTGGGTGACAGGAAAGGGACACAGGGAGACAACACACGAGACAAGGGCTCCATCCCACGGGACTGTTCCCTGTTTGCAGGTGGATGGGAAGAAACTCCTGCTCCCTGTGCCTCCACCTCAGGAGAACAAACCCAAGCTCCAGAGTGTAAGTCCTGCCAGGGAATGTCCCTGCTTCCCTGCTGGCTTTGGGGAAGACATCCCTCCCAAACCTGCTCCCAAAGGCTGGGCAATCCCTGAGCTCCAGCCCAGGGATTTCTCAGGGCCAGGCAGCACTTCCTGCATCAACCACATTCCCGTGGGACCACGGGCATGCACAGTGTGTGTAGAGAGCCAATATGTTTTCTGTTCTGTTTTTTCCAGCCTGCCTTGAGGCCTAAAGGTCCCCCACCTCCTGTTCCTTCCACCAAAGCAGCCTCATCTCACCCAGAGAAGTTTGTAAGTACAGCCCTGCACTTCTCCCACATTTCCTCTGAGTAGCAAAAGATTATCAGATGCCAAACAGTATTTTTAGTTTCTGACCATGATTTAATATAAAAATTAAAACTCACAGCCATTCAAACCACAGATTCTTTAAGTAAAGAGTCACCTGTTTTGCCACATAATCCTAAACTGCACAAGATACTCTTGGATACTCAAGGAATCCTCTCAGCCATCACATGTCCCCCTCAGCAGCAAAAGCACAGCCCAGTGGCTTCTGAAAGGGATCTGCCCCCCTTGTCTGGTGGTAATTTGGCACGTGGAGAGATTAATCCACTTCCCCTGCAGCATTTCCACTGGGAAATCTGGTAAATCCATGAGGACACCCGAGGTCTGGGGAGGTTCTGCAGCTGCTCAGGCAGGAAAACCCAGTGACATTTAAACTGCATTTTGTTCCAGGCACCAGAGAGGAAACCTCCTCATCTCCCAGTCCCCAAAGGCAAACCTCCAGCACAGGTAACCCGAGTTCCAGTGGGAACAGCAGTTCCTTTGGGATGTAATTCCTTGAAACAGCCCCGGGCACCCTCTGAGGTGTGATTTAACTCCTTCTTTTCCACCCAGGCTTTAAAACCCCCAATGAATCCCCGAGTCTGAAGTTTCTGACACGGGGCTGGATGGAGACGTTTTCAGGGACAATTTGCTTGCCCCTCCATTCCTCCACTTTTGGCAAAGGCATCCAGGATCATCTTCCTCTTCTCCTTCCAACAAGAACAACGGACTGGTGGCTGCTTGGGAAGAAAAGGGTTGCACTCTGAGCAGTGAGGAACATTCTGGTGATGACACAGAGCTTCTGCCCAAGAGGAAACGAAGCAGAGTCACTCTTTGCACTGAGGTGTAGACTGGGAGTAAGTCCCCAAAGCTGCTGAACACATCCCAGCTCCTGGGCCAGCACCCAAGGAGTGGCTGCACCCAAACTGCTCCTCTGGGCACAGACCCCAGGGGGTGAGGGAATGTGAACTGTTACCTTGGTTTGGCTCCATTTTGGGATCTCTGCCAGCCCCTCTCCCTCCTCCACAACGCACCAGACCTTCTTCACACGTCATCCTAAACTGCACAAGACACTCCTCATCTGTGCCAAGGAATCCTCTCAGCCCTCACATGTCCCTGTCAGCAGCAAAAGCACATGGAGTTCAAAGCAACAGGGATTTGGGGAGTAAATCAGTGCAAAGGAAGAACAAATCTGAAGAACAAATTTGCTCCTCCCGGTGTCTGGGATGGTCCCTGCACTGCAGAAGTGTGAGTTCTGGAGAAAGACAAACCCTCCCTGCCCTTTGGGGAGGAGTTGGTGCCCTCGGGGTCTGAACTAGGCGTGACCTGCGTGAGGTGACACACTGGAAACGGGTCTGGAATGATCCTTTGGGATGGGATTCTCTCAGTAACCCTTACATTCCCTGTTAAACAAGATCCCCGTGGTGAGGAGGGAGCGCTGGAGAGACTCAGGAGCTCCAAGTGCTGCTCCAAGCGCTGCAGAGCTCCGGCTGTGCCAGTTCATGGAGCTCCAGCTGCTCCACTGCCCTGGGACAGGGACACCCAGCAAAGCAGCCCCACCAAACCCCTCCTTCAGTCCTTTCCCTGGCCCCTCAGCTCCACGACCATCCAAGGATTCCTCCCTTCCAGGACACCCCCACCCTCCCTTTGGTGCTCCTGTCTCCGCGAGCTCCCCCCGGGGGGTTGTTGTGGGGTCACTCCTGGGAACCAGGGGTCGTTTTTGTGGGATGAGTTTTCCCACTCTGCTTCATTCCCGAGGGTCCCTCATCCCCCCTGCCCTGTTGGCATCACTCTGGGCACGTTGCCCAGCTGGGCTGGCTCTGTTGGCACTGGTGTTAATGGTGCTGGGAGCTGCTGTTGCCTCTGGCACTGGGAGCACTGGGAGCATCCCCGTGCTCGGCATCCAGGGTGGGAAGGTCAAGCTCCCACAAGTTGTTTTTTCAAGAGCAAAAATTCTACCAGGGGAGAAGAAGAAAAAAAAAAAAGAGAGAGAGATAAAAAATAAGGAAAAATAAAAGTGGGAGAAAGGAACTTGCTCTGGATTCAAAGTACTCAAGATTTTATGGAGTTTCCAGTGAGAACTGGGTTTAGGTTTGGAGCAGGATCAGAGTCAGAACATGGATCCAGCTGATGACACTGTGACTCAGGAAGGTTGTTTCCAGCCCTTGGGCACAGTGGCTTCTCTGGAGAAGCCAAATTCCCAAATTTCTGCTGTTTCCAGTGACCCTCCCTGAGCTCTCACACTTCAGACCCACCCTCCCTGATCCAGAATTCCAGATAAAACTCCAGTTTCTCCTCTTGGGCTGGGCTTTGTCTGAGGTTCCCAACCCCTGCAGAACACGGGTGTGCTGGAATTCCAGTCTGGTTTGAGGAGGGAGGGGGGATTTTGGATTAGGATAAACGTTACTGGAAGAGCAGAGCTTTCTTCTGCTTTGGATTATTGCTGCTTTATTTGAGTCAGGCACGGATTTGAACCCATATCTGTGTTTGACTGCGGTGTAAAGACTCAGAACTTATTTTTTATGAGCTGTAATTAATGTATATACAAAGATTTCTGTATTAAAGTGTTCTCTCTAAAGGGGAGTCTCTAAAAAGTCGCTGTATTTTTTAAAAACCAGCATTTGCACATGAAAAATCGTGTAAAGTGGGACCATTTATAACAATGCCAAACCCCTAAAATTCCCAGTTTTAACCAAAAAGGAGTATTCACAGGTGTAGTCAAAACTGCCAAGTTAGCCAGTTAATTTAAATTATAATTTAATTGAATTATATAAATTTAAACTATAAGTTAATTAAATCATAATTTAAATTAGAATGAGCATATATTTAAAATTATAAAGAGAATTTAAACGGTAAGATATTCCATCCCAACTTTTCTGCCACCTTAAAATCTACTTCTTCCCCTTTTCCAAACTTTGTGAGCACTCCAGAATTTTCCAAGGACGGAGAGATTTGCAGCAGTAGAGAATTGCTGTTTCTTCATTATCTTCCTAAGATTCATCTCCCAAACCAGGGAGCTTGGGCTGCCTTTTCTCCTGCAGAAACCCAAATACCTGAGCCCTTCCAGTGCCTCCCACAGACCAAGGATCCACTTTCAGCAGCGACTTGAAGCAGAAACCTGGGAAAAATGTATCTATTTTATATATAAAATTTATTATTACCGATAATTTATTATTCTATATAATTTATTATATAATATATATTTATTATATTTATTATTCTATATAATTTATTGTTACCCGGGGGTAGTAATAAATTATATCTGGAACATACACAGCTCTCCTTGGCCCCAAGAGCCCAGGACAGGTGCCAGCCCCTCCTGCCTTGGAGAACACGTCGTTATTCCCTGGGTTTGTCCAGTCTCTTGTTCTGTTATACAAACGTGACATCTGCTGTTAAAAACCCTCCACTGCAAGAGGGAAAGGGTTTAAAAATCCATAATATATCGGTAACCTCCTGTGCAGGACCCACCAGACCCTTCCCTCGCTCCCAGCCCTAGAGAAAAGCAGTTTATTGCTGCTTTTGGGGCTGTATTTTTTTGCTGTGAGTGAACACTCTGCCCCAATTCCCCGGGGAAACAAAAATGTCTTTTTTTTCCCCGTTGCTTTTCAACCTCTGAATCCGTAGAATCAAAGAGTTATGGAATGGTTTGGGTTGGGAAAGCTCACCCAGTGCCACCCTCTGCCATGGGCAGGGACACCTTCCTCTATCCCAGGCTGCTCCAACCTGGCCTTGGACACTTCCAGGGATGGACAATCCACAGTTGTCTTCCCATCTCCCACCCTCTTTCCTCCCTCTTTCCCCTCCCTGAGTTTGGTGCTCTTTGCCCCCCCAAACCAACTTTCACCGGGAACATTTCTGGGGGCTTCCCGAAAACCAGACACCCCCTGGACCATCCCAAGAGCCCGAATTCCTTGGCGGTTCCTCCCTCTGGCGCTGGGAATTGTCCCCTTTGCCCTGCAAATTCCGCGCTGGCCGTTAGAGGGCAACGGGACACGGACCACGAGAGTCTTGTGGGATCCCCAACGGATCGATCCTGCATTTCCAGCACCCTCCGACCTTGGGCTGCACATCCAGGAGACACCGCCAAGGACACGGGCAGGAGCGGGGAGCTGGAGCCCGGGCAGGGTTTCAGACACAGAGGCACCAGACGGCTCATAAATAGGCTGAACCCAACCCTCCAAACGTGACACCGCAGACAGGACCTGCTTTGGGGCTCCTGACGGGCAGGAGGCAGCTTTTTAATCGATCCAGGTTTTGCTGCCCAGAAAACCGAGTGTTGTCCTGACAGCCCTCACCGACATGAATCACAAAAATCCCCTGGGATTTGGAATTAAGCCCTTTTTTTTCCTGCTTTTGCTTCCCCCTGCCTCGTAGCAGCGCATAAATTGTCGCCTTCTTGACAAAGGAGTGAATAAAAGGCTTCAGGCCGGACCCTGTGATGTGCAAATCAGTGGGAATTCCTGGAAATATTGAAGATTCCCCTGCTGACAGTCCCTGAGAACTCAGACCTTTGGTGGTTGTCCACCACCAAACTGAGCTTGGTGGTCTCCAGGGCTACAAAAGCAAGTGGTTCTTACTATGGCAGCCTTTGGCACTGGCTGATAATTCAGGAATTATAGGATATGGAATATCCTTAGTTGGAAGGGGATCATCCAGTCCAAGTCCTGGCGCTGAGGAGGGGAATAATCCCACCCTGTGCTGAAGTGTGAACCTCAGCCATCAGCCACCTCTGGCTGAGAGATGCCATTAATCATCAGATTATTGATTAATTAATTACTGTGGTATTGCTGGATGCTTCTAATCCTCCTCTGGTGCCGAGGAGGCCCTGGGAAAGGAGGAGGGTGGTGCCAGCATTTCTCCTGGTCCCTCATCACTTTAAAACCACCCAGAAAAGTGGCAGGGAGATTAACAGGCTGTTACTGACATTAGAGCCATAAATAATTCCACCAAAGACGAGGCCCTGGCCTTTAGAAGGTCTCAGGGAAAAACAGCAGAGGCTGAAATATTGATAGATGTGTCTGCAAGAGCTGTTAGAAAAGGGAAAGTGCTTTTCGTGGGATTGGGGTGGGCACCAGGACAAGGAGGGGAACCTCGATCACATCCTGACAAAATAGGAGTGCACAGCACCAGGAGAGAGGATGAATGATAAAAACAACCCCAGTTCAGCAGAAATGGAGGCAAAAATCCTCCTTAAACAGGCAACAACAGTGGTGAAAGAATGAAGAACATCTCCAGCAAGAGTGAGAACAGGTGAGGGCAGAGCTCAGGTGTGTTCACCCCGGGCTGCAGAGACAGAAAACATCTTTCTTACACCTGTTAGTACACGGAGGGAGAAATGAGCCTCTCCCTGCCATGCCCTGGATCTATTTTTGCGTGTCCTGGAGTGCACTGGAGAAATGTATTTTCCATGTTCCATCTCCCGGCCGCGTCCCCGGGTCCCACCGGCGCCCACGTCACGTCAAAGTGCTGCAGAGACGTTCCTACACCCAACATCTTCCCAAACCAGGTCACCCAAAAACGCCTCCTGCCCAGCCCCACAACGTGACAAGGCTTCGTGAAAGGCTCCATGGGAGAAAAAACCCACGGGATGACTTGGGTAGAGAGGGAAAAACAAATCATAGCAGAGCCTCCTTGTTAAGGGGCTGGAGCAGAACGTGACTCACTCCCTGCAGAGACACCTTCACTCCCAGCACACACCCGAGGACAGCAAGGGAATTCCCACATCTGAGCCACATTCCAAGGAAACAGCCCCTTTTCCACTCTCCAGGACTGACTCCCACACCAGATTCCTTGGCAGCAGCATCCGAGGTCTGGCTTTCCAGAGGAGTTTTAGCACTTTCCACCCGCCCAGCAGGCTCAGCTCGCTCACCTGGAAACCCAATTCCAGCCTCCAGCTCCCTGGGATCCAGCTTTTCATGGTCACAACGAGGACACTGCTTCCTCCTTCCTCTCCCTGTCTTTCATCCCCCAAAATTCAAAGCCCCCACTGGCTGCAGCCCCTTTTTTTGGGGTGAGTTATGGAACCCCTCCATGCTGGGGGCACCTCTCTGGGTCCCCACTCCCTTTTTTGGGCCCCCACAAAGCTCTGGGGGTCGGGATATAGTTCAGCTGACAAGGTGGGATTGGCTCAAAGGTTGGGCTTGATGATCTTGGAGGTCTTTTCCAACCTTAATAATTCTGTGATCCTACAAAAGGGGCCTGGCTTTGTGGGGTTTTAGGCTCTAATGGCAAGAATGACTTGCAGTAACAACACTAAAGCACATACATAAAAAACCCCTGATGCTGCCACCTCTCAACACCCAGGAAGTGAAGCTTTGCTGGGATTGATCTTTGTTGGACAATCCCTGAACTGAGGCCCTGCAAAGGAAAACAAAGAACAGCTCCAAGTCCTTAAAAAAAAAGGGTGGGGGGGAGTAAAAGAGAGAATTATTGTAACATTTGGGTTGGAAAAGCCCTCTAAGGCCATCAAGTCCAACCATCCCCCCCCACTGACCCGTGTCCCCGGGTGCCACATCTTTTAAATCCCCCCAGGAATGGGGGCTCCATCGCTTCCCTGGGCAGGACAACCCCTTCCACCATGAATTTTCCCCCTAATATCCAACTTAAACCTCCCCTGGCACAGCTTGAGGCCGTTTGCTCTTCGTCCTGTGGCTCGTTCCTGGGGAGAAGAGAAGCCCCAGCGGGTCCCTAATTCAACCCCCCCCCATCACCAGAGCTCTGGATTTGCCGTGAATTTTTCATGCTGGAATCAGCTGAGTGCTGCAGGCACGTACTGCATGGAAAATCAGCCTGAAATATTGATGATCCACTGCAGAGGATCATCGGGGAAAGATCTCCAAACGAGGACAGGGGACCTCAGGCAGCCCTGCTGGAACCACTCCCTCTCTGCCCAAAATCCAGGGCAGTGAAATGAGGATGAGCTGCCCCAGAGGTGCTGGGAAGGAGAACCACTGGATTGCAGGGCTGGGGGCTGTAGGACACATCAGGAGCCAGGGTTAGTTAAACCTTCCAGAACTTCTCAGCCACGATTTGTCCTGTTTAAACCCCCCCTGTGCCAAAAGGAGCCTCATTCCTGAGGCTGATTCCTGCAGGTCTGAGCAGGACAAAGCCCACAGGAAAAGGGGAGGGGGGGCTAATGGTGCACTTATCAATATATCTCAGCATCTGTCTAGACACCATAAACCACAAACTTCCCCTTCTCCCTGATCAAACCTGACCCAAAACTCGACCAATTTAACCCGAGTGGAAACACGAACCCTCAGCCAGAGAGGAGCAGAGCTCGGATTCATGGCTTTAGTTCCCCTGGAGTGCTCATGTTACTAATTCCACACCCCCTCCTTATTCCTGTCACCATTTCCTTGCCTTAAAAGCCACCCTGACACGGCTTTGGAGCCGTTCTACTTCATCACTGCCATCGTTAGAAACTCTGCAACCAGAAGATTGGTGCCTTCTCATCACTTATTTAAGCTGTGCCAAGCAGCACAGACACTTATGAAATACATCCCAAATTATGCCCAGTGGAAAAAAGAGTGTGGGGGGGGAGAGGAAATAAAAGCAGGAATTACATCT